AAAGGATTTCTTTGCTGGGTGGCCACATGAGGGAGCAGGTGGGGTGATGGTAATTACTGGCTGAATTGTAAGCAGCAGAATGGAGGAAACAGGAATCGGGAAGGCGCAGTGACTCTGACACTTGCCTCGTGGGAGACGGTGTCATGGGAAGACCCTGCCCTAGTGTCTCTGGGAGGTAGAGAAGCGGGGCCAAGGAGAAAGGCTCAGACGACAGAAGGGGGTTGGAGGTGGCGCAGGGACACACATGGCCCAATGTCCCTCTCTGACATAGCAGTACAGTCAGCCTCTGCAGCCACAGATGCCAGCAATGAGGACACCAACTGTGACGCCTAGGCAAACCTGACTTCTTTTCAGGATCCACCATCTTGCTCCTACAGGACCATGTGACTTGAGGCCAGAAGAAGAAAGAAGTAAGGGTGGACAGAACACCAGGAAGAACCACTAAGCTCCATCGGTTTGATGTCAAAGAGGGGAAGGGAAGGGAAGAAGCATTGATATAGAACCTGCTTCATGCTAAATGCTTTTTACAAATACGATTTCATTTGATGCTCACAGCAGCCATGGGAGGTGAATACCATTATTATCCTCGTTTTACAGTTGAAGAAACTAAGGCAGACGTGCATGAAATGCACGAAAGGCATAAAATGACTTGCCCAAGGGTTGCCCAGCCAGGAGTACCTGAAGTCAAACTTGAACTCAGGTCTTCCTTTCTCGATTTGTGAAAGCCACACAAAATTTTGCAGGTAAAATTATTTTCTCTTGCTGATTATAGTGTCATAGATCCTAAGAAGCCATCTTGTCCGGCCCCCTTTTTTTACAAATGGGGCCTAGAGATAGAACTCACCCAGAGTCACATTGATGGCAGAATCAGTATCTGAACCCCAAGTCCTCCTAACTCCGAGTCCAGTGATGCCTCTTTCAAAATTGCACACCTGTCAATCATTTATTTACTAAGTGGCTTATTATGTGCCAGCAGCTGTGCTAAGTGCTACGGATTCAAAGAAAAGCAAAGCCAGTCCCTATCCAATGCAATCCAATCCAATCTAAACCAATCCAATAAACATTTATTAAGTGCCTATGGTGTGCCAAGCACTGTGCACACAGTGGGGCTACAATTAACAAAAAGAAAAACAGTCCCTGCCCTCAAGAAGCTTAGAATCTAAAGGGCAAGGGGATACAGGGAATGCTCCATGCCCTGGGGAAATCTTGTTCCATGGAGTTGAAACCAGGCAGGGCAGCAGACACAAAGTGGAGCTCTGTGATCTCCTGTCTTCAAGGATTTCACATTCCTTTTTTCCCCTTAGCTTTTAGCAAAGGCATTTACTCAGATAAGACAGCAAAAACAGTTATTACAAAACATCTTCACCATAAATATGGTGGATGCTGTCCCACAAATATATACAGCAACCATGAGAAAAGTGTGCTGATAACTTTCCTTCAGGGCTGGGATTCAGGGGCACGTGAATGAGCTTTGGCTCTCTGGGCCTTGGCTTAATGCTGAGTGCTGTTATCTGAGGAGCTTTACATGACAGTCTCTAAGAACGAGGCTTCCCCCAGGAAGCCTATTCTGATTGTCCTGGAAAAGCTTATGTTCCTAGGATGAGGAGGAGGAATGGATTGTGAAACTAGCAGAACAGTGACCTCCCTTGGAAACTCAAAAGGGTTCTGATTAGGAACAACAACAAAAACAAAACAAAACAAAACAAAAAAACCCAAGCTTTTCTCTTTTTTTCATAAAACAGGGAGCAAATTTATGGAATTAGTTCCTTATCCCCAAGAAGTGATGGGGATTTAAGTTTCAGTGACAAGGATTTAAGATAAATTCTTGAATGATAAGAATTGTCATCAGATCATTGAACTGCTGAGAAGAGCTAAGTCATTCATAGTTGCACACAGTACAGTGTTACTGTTACTGTGTATATTGTTCTCCTGGTTCTGCTCATCTCACTTTGCATCAGTTCATATAAGCCTTTCCAAGTTTTTCTGAGAGCATCCTGCTCATCATTTCTTATAGCATGACAGCATTCTGTTACACTCATATATCACAGCTTGTCAATGTTTTGTCATTTCCTCAATCGACGGGCATCGTTCAATTTCCAATTCTTTGCCACCACAAAAAGAGCCACTAAAATATTCTGTATATGTCTTTTTCCCTTTTTTATGATCTCTTTGGGATACACTGTAATGGTATTAAGGAGCTCACATTCTAACTAGGGAGACAACATGTAAATAACTAGGGACACACAAGATGTATGCAGAGTAGATGAAAGGTAATCTGAAAGGGGAAGACACTAGTAGCTGGGGGACCTGGGAAAGACTTCTTGCAGAAGTCTTTGAACTGCACCTTAGACAGTACCAAAGAAACCAGGAAGCAGAAGAGTGGGGGGATGGGATGAGGACGGAGCATCTTAGGCATAGGTATAGCTCATACAAGGCACAGTAGACCCATTCTGAGTGCTTGCGTTCTCTGGTTTCTTTTCTGCTGTTTGGGGATTGAGCCCCAAAATTGTCTTGGGGGTTTTCTTTTGCTTAGCACAGTGACTGGCACATAGAAGGTACCTGATGTTTATTAATTACTGATTGTTGCTGATTCTTTTGACATTGGTGACCAGTAAGGGACAGACACTAGGTCCCTCACATTTTTTTTAAACATTCTGTATTATTCTGAACTTGACAAACATGAATATCTCTATAGACTGTACAAAGAGTACTGCATATGAAACACATATAGGTATACGTATGTATGTATATACTAAATTCAGCACATTAGTAAAGTGCTTCTTTGATCATTTCTTTCCTCTATCTCCCCTCACCATTTCTTTATGTCTACCAAAAGTGTCTCAGTGTGCCTGTCCTTTCATATCCTCTCCAACAGTTGTCTCTTTCCCTTATTGTCATCTTGGCCAACCTGATGGATGTGAGATGGAACCTCAGAATTTTTTTTTTCATTTACCTACTTATGAGTAATTCAGAGCATTTTTCATATAGTTATTGTAGAATTTTCAAGAACTGCCTTTCCATTATCTTTGACCACTTATTTACTAGATTGTCTCTTTTTCTATATTGAATCAGTACTGTATATCTTGGATGTCACAATTTTATTAGAGAAACTTGATATAAAGTTATTTCCCAGTTACATTCTGATTTTCCATTCTGATTTTAGCTACATTGTGTGCAAAAGGTTTTATATTTATGTAATAAAACTTGTCCATTTTATCTGTTTTCTTTGAACAAGTTTTCCCTTTTCTATAGCGGTTAAAGGTAGCCCTTTCCATTCTCCTAATTTATTATGTGACATTTTACATATAGGTCATATATCTATTTGGAGTTTATTGTAGTAGGGTGTGTGTGAGATAGTGTTCTGAACTTAATTTCTGCTAGACTGCTTTCCAGTTTTCCTAATGATTTTGGCAAATAGTAAGTGCTCATCACAGTTAAGTCACTGGGTTTATCTAACATCATGCTACCGTGTTTTTGTTTTTTTTGCTTCTGGGTCTTATTTTCCTAATCTATGTATCCTACTAATCAACGTTTCTATTTTTTAAACAATGCCAAATAGCTTTAATGATTACAGTTTTGTTGTACAGTTTGAGTATAATCCTAGTAGAGAAATCTACAATATAATTTCCTTTAAGAAATTATTATGGTACTCAGAATAGGATGGTAGCACAAACTGCACTTTTTTTTTCAAAAAGCGTAAGAACTGAAAAGTACTTTTAAGTAGTTGTGGGAATGTTAAATTCTGACTATACTTGGGCGGTTGAGGCAGGAGAGTTCTCACTAAAAAGAACATTTTCAAGATAATCTGGTTCTATCACACTGTTAAGCACTGGTAGGCCACTTTCCTTACCACTTTTTTCATTACTTCTGGTGAGATTCTTGACCAAATTTTTTGCTTCTCTGGATTGATGTTATTTTGTCTAGTTCCATCTATAGTGTGACTGACACAGCGAATTACCACCTTTGTTGTCACAGCCCAAGCACAAGCAATCAGGCCCTCTCTGATCACTGAAGTCTGTCTTTAGAGTCACGTTCATAGAATTCCTTTGGACGTCTCGAGGAACAGAGTCCTCAATATTTATGCATTTCAGCTTCTCCTCCAGTGTCTTCCCGCGGGGTCTGGTTGGGAACGCACGGAAAGGCCGCGCTGGAAGGAAGGAGTGCGCACCCCTTAATTTGCTTTAAATCCCCGGTCTTATCCCGGGGCAGGGAGATTGTCTCCTGGGGTGCCGGGGCCCCCCTCGGGGGGCACGTGGAAAGAGGCCGGGCCAGGACTTCCTGACGGCTCTTTGTCATTCACACGCAGAGGGGCCCAGGGCCCCCTTGCTCCATCCGGGGCTCTCTTTCCGGGGCCCGAAGCCATAGGAAGCCGGGCGGACCCCGCGATAGACGGCGCGGGGCGGCCCGGCCGGGACCTCTGCCGTGTTGCTGGCGGCGCCCGTGGCTGGAGCCTCACCGCCTGCCCACCCTCCCGGGACAAGGCCAGGCCACCCACGACCCAGTGCAAAGGAGCGTGATGGGGACCAGGACAAAGCGCCGGGTCCGCACCCTCCCGGGGAGAGGCGCCGCGGCCTCCGGGCGCCCCGCTGCGCCGGGGGGGGGCGGGGGCCCACTGACTAGGGAAAGGGGGATGCGCGCAGTCAACGAGGGCCCCCTTGAGACAGATGCGGAAACTGAGGCCCGCAGGAGCTGGGGGTGGTCCCAGGTGGCCGCTCCGAGGTGCCAAGGTCGCCACTGCAGGCCCCCGCCGCCTCCACTTCGGTCTGACTCCGAGCCCGAAAGCCAGAGGCGGCGGGGGGGGGGGGGGGCGGCTCCACCCACACACGCCCGGCCCCTCTCCTCGCCCCGCCCCGCCCCAGCCGGGCCTCCTACGTCTTCGAGATCTTTCTCGAACTCGGCCGCCGCCGTTGCCCGAGCGCCGCCGAAAGCTGCCGAAGCCGAGGCGGGTGGCCTCTGGGAAGGGGGGGGAGGGAGTGGGCGGTCAGAGCGGCGGCGCGCGCACCTCCCCGGCGACCGAGCGCGCAGGCGCAGAGCCCAGTAACTGCCGGTTGGTGGCTGATGAACCGCAGTGGGGGAGAGACGCTCCGAGGCAAGCGGCGGCGACTCAGGCCCGGCCCCTGCTCCCTCCCGGCTCGGCCCCGGCCCCGGCCCTCGGTTCCCGCCCCGGCCCCGGCTCACCGGCCCTTCCTCGCCCCTCGCAGCCCCAACGGCGAGCGCGCAGCAGGCGCCCCTCCCGGCTCGGCGGCAGCGGCAGCATGTCTGTTGTCGGCATCGACCTCGGCTTTCTCAACTGCTACATCGCCGTGGCGCGAAGCGGCGGCATCGAGACCATCGCCAACGAGTACAGCGACCGGTGTACCCCGTGAGTGCCGGCGGACCCCGCCCCGAGGCCTGCCCCGTGACGTCCCGCTGCTGCTGGGGACCCTCCCCCGTGAGCCGGGGACCCCCCCCGTGCTGCTGGGGACCCTCCCCCGTGAGCCGGGGACCCCTCTGGTGCTCCGCGAGGCCTGCCCCCGTGAGCCGGGGACCGCCCCCGTGCTGCGAATGACTTCCCTCCTCCGAGCTCTCCGACACGCCACCCCGCCCGCCGTCTCTCCTCCGTGCTCCCGAACGTTCCCTCCATTGCCCCCTCCCCCCGCGGCACCCCGGTCTTCCGTGCACACGTCGCCCGGGACAGGGATGTGGTCCTCCCCTCCCCCGGGGTTCTGCCCCGGCCCCATCCCGCCCCCCATCTCCGGGGATGCCCACCGCTCCTCGGCCGCTAACCCCCCCCCCCCATGATCCGTTCCTCTCTGAATGGCCCGCTCATCCCCCTCCCCCCTCCATCTCTGCCTGGCAGCTCCCTCCCCCGCCCCGCTCCCCGCGGTCCCAACAACTGAAGCAGCCCCCCACTCCCTCTGCCCTCTTGCTGGCGGCGCCGGTGGCTGGAGCCTCACCGCTTGCCCCCCCTCCCGAGTCCGCAGCTGAGGCGTGGGGGCGGGTATAGCGCAGCTTTTCCCAGGTTGGGTCCTTAGGGGATGTTGGTCTCTAGGCCGGCTGCTGGCGTCTGTCTCGTGCCCTCCATAATCCTGTTGGAGCCCTTTCTCTGTGCCCAGATGCGGGGGATGACAGAAATGAGTCCAGCCCTGCCTTCAAGGCGCCTGCAGTCTACCTACGGCCTACAGTTCTTAGCTGAGTCTGTACAGGATAGACACAAAGCTACATACAGAGTGACCCGGGGACAAGGGCAGGAGGGTCGGTGAGGAAAGGAAGCGCTTGGGGTGAGCCAGAGGGAGAACATGCCAGGCATCCATTCTAGATGTCATTTCTACCTCTTCATTCATCTTAACCACCATGCCCTTCAGTGTCACCTCTTCTGCCTCTGTTTCCCTTTGAGGCAGGACACCTCCCTCCTGGAAGGGACAGCCCTGTTGGGGAGTTACCATTTAAAACTTTCCCAACCTCGGCCAGAAAGGAAGTGTGTTGGGTTCCATTGGGGAGTTTTGTGTTTGATCTGCTATGACCTTGAGAATGCAAAGTGATGGCACCCATTTTAAGGGGGTGGCTGAGGCAGGAGTTACTTTCTCAGCCGTTGAGTGATGGCCATAGTAGAAATCTTTTATTCATACACTGACTTAAATGTGTAAGGCTTTTTATGGAAACCATCTTCTATCCGATGGGGGCTCAGGGCAGTGGAGATGAGTGTCATCTTCTTAGATATTCATGCTTGGGCAATGACTCTATAAAGATTATGAAAGGGTTTCCACAGGTTTCACTGTTTGCTTGTCTGGGAAGTTTGTTGGCAAAGAGGATGTGTGGGTGAGGGAAGATGTGTCACAGAGTAGTAGATTGCTTGTTAATTATTAAAGAGTACTGTGCAGTTTTTAAAATTATGATCTCATCTAATTCCTACAGGAAAACCACAGATTGATACCTAATTCCTAACTAATACCTAACTTGAAAACTTGTATTCTATAGCAGTTTACACATGGACATTTATCCCAGAAAGACTAGTCCCTCCCCACAGGCTTTAATTTCATTCAGGTCATGATACTTTCTGGTCAGATTAGTCTGAAAGTCTTTAGACAGCTTAAATTCTACAACTAGTTTTGAGTTTGAAGCACAGTCATTTATTTAGTGTGAGTTTTTTGTTCCTTGGTTTCAATCAGACTGTGTTTTTTAGAAAGTGTACACACTTTTCTAGACGTGTAATATTGATATATGTGTGTTCCTGCTCTCCCTTCTCCAAGTCTTTTCCCTTTTTCTGAAGTGGTGATTTCTGTTTTTCTTAACTCCTTCCCCTGCTAGCCATTGACCGCAGGCGAGCTGGACTTGTGCAGGTACAATTCAGGAGTGAATGGGACTTTCAGCATTTATTGTCTTCGTCAAGAAAGCTGAGGTGGGGCTAGAAAGTTTACAAGCCCTTCTCTCTGAAGGCTGTAGGCTTCAAGTAACAAGTGGTGATGTTAACAGTGTAGAAGCTTCCTAGCTTTTACAGAGCAGAGGCTGAAGGGACAAAGAAGTCCGTATACTCTCATACTCAAAAAATACTTCTTCAGGAAGAGCCAGCAGGGCTTTTTTAGAGCACACCAGTCTCCTAGAAACTTGACATGAAGCAAGCTTGGATTACTTCATTTTCACCCTGCAGAAACTGCTTTTAGTCTGTCTAGCCATGGGGCAAAGGGGACAGAGGAAGAAGAACACTGGCTTTGCATCAGATCTGTGAGTTCCTTGAGGGTAGGGACTGTCTTTTGCCTCTTTTTTCCTTTATCCCCACCACTTACCACAGCCTGGCACACTGTGGGCAATGCTTACTGATTGATTGAAATTCTCCTATTGGTCACTATTTGAGTATCCTTGGGCAAGTCAGCTGAACTCTGAGCCCCATTGTCCTCTGTGATTGGAGGTGTATGGACTACCTGGCCTTTATGAACTGAATGAGTGTTTGAAAAGAGATTGTGTGAGAACGTTAGTCCAGATAGTAAAGTAAAATATATATAAATATATGAGTTGATAAATTTATTAGCATTTGAAATTACAAAGCACTTTATATACATAATCTCATCTGATAGAACTACTCTGTAAGGCAGGTGCTTTTATTATATCCATTTTACAGATGAAAAAATAGGTTCTGAAAGGTTGTGACTTTCCAAGCTTTAGCTTTCTGCCATTTAGCTAGCAAGTGCTTTTGTACTCCAAGGCCAGAACTCTATTCCCTCCACCATGGCAACAAAGGAAGCTGTAAGTTTATAGGATACTGGATTCTGCAGCCTTCTCTGCCTGTAGTTGTACCTCTAAACAGCAACTGCTTCAGAGGCTTATACCATCTGTCTTCCCATCTTTCTATCTTTGGACACTCATTCTTTCCACAAACATTCCTTGAATGCTTACTGTCTGAAAGGCAAATTTTGATAGGGGCCTGTTACTGGCTAAAACATCCAGGTATTTCACAACAGACTTTGAATTAGCAGTCTTCTAAGAAAAAAATCTAATCATTTTGTCAGAAAAGGAAAGTGTCTAACTGATTATTCAGTGTCTAGTAATATTTCAGCTTTTCAAGATGCAAATGTTTAAGAAAGAAACTTTGAGGGACTTGAATCTATTATGTTTTAATCCTTGAGTCAATCAACAAACGGCTCTTACATGCTTACTAAGTGCTAGGTACAATGCAGAGCTCCGGAATACAAAGAAAAAGCAAGAAGTGTGCACCCTCTGGGAGCTTAAATTCAGATAGGAGAGACAAGATGTATATAAATGGGTAATGTGTATTTGAGGCCTAATTGAGGCCAGGCATTCTGCCTCCGAGTCTAGTGTTCTGTCCATTTCTAGTCTGTTACATCTTCCCTAACTCACATAGCGGCATCTGTTCTGTATAGACGATTCATTCTCATGGAGTAAAAGGCCCGGTAGGGTAAACTTGTCATCAGAATGCCTAGCTTTCAATTCATTTTCTAGTTAGCCTTTCAATAAAATTGGGATTTTTGTGCTTCCCCCACCTTCTTGAGGGCAGGGACTGTTTTGCTTTTTGTCGTGTATCCAGGGCCTTGCATGTAGTCTAGATTCTCTGAAACAAGGTGCTGTCTAAGTATTGTGTCCTGGAGCATCTATGTGCAGTCCTACTAAGTGGAAAATTCCCCTTTGCTCTTAACATTGCTGGGGCTGCTAGGTGGCGCCATAGTGCGCAGAGTGCAGTACCTGGAGTCAGGAAGATTCATTTTCCTGAGTCAAATTTGGCCTCGACCGTTAACTAGGTATGGGACCCTCAGCAAGTCACTTAATCCTGTTTGCTTCAGTTTCCTCATCTGTAAATGAACTGGAAAAGGAAATGGCAAACCACTCCAGTCTCTCTCCCAAGAAAACCCCACGAAGAGTCAGCTACAGCTGAAACGACTGAACAGCAACACGATGTTTGGTTCAGGAGCATTTCTAGGTTAAGCCTCTGTTACCCAAGTTTTGTAGCCTCCCTAATTCATTTCAGCCACAGACATTGATTGAGGGTCTTCTTTGTGAAGCACTGTGCAGGGTGCTGGGAATATTGCAGGAAAAAAATATCCTCGAAGAACTTGAAGTCACACCACTATTCTGTAACTCAAGATAGAAAATTATTTAGGTGCATGGAAATGTTTTGGTGGCCTTAGAGTTTTAAGAGGAAGTAGGAGCTGGATTTTGGAGAAAGAGAGGGACAGTTTTCTAGTTAAGGGCAGGTGGTGATGGGAGGAAAGGCGTGATGGTAGAAAAAAGAATAAGAGCTCTTCAGAATTGAAGACGGAAAGTGACCCTGGGCTGTATAGGGAGAATCTTTGTATTTATATATTCATAGAGGTACCTAAGGGGTGCCTTGGCATCCGGAAGACTTCAGTCATCTAAGAGCAGTGTGACCCTGATCGAGGTACTATCTCAGTTTCCTCATATATAAAGTGGGGATAAAAATAGGACCTACCTCCCAGGTTGGTAGTGAGAATTAAAAGAGATAATTGCAGAGGGCTTTGAACAAGTGGAAAGGCATGGATGATCAATGGAATGATGGTTGTGGTCGAGGTGGAGGGTTACTTTACCATCAAAAATTAGAGAAGGGACAGAATGGAGGAATCAACTTCTGCCTTATTTTCATTACCTCTTTTCTTCACAGATGTTAATGCATCCTGTTTACAATAACGTAAGGGTTAAGTGTCTTGCCTTTGTCATTTTAAAAATCCTAATTTGTATTTATTGAGCAAATTGTACTAGGCAAAGAGAATCCACCGGTAAAAAATCCCTGAACCAGCCTCTGCCTTCCTGGAATTTGTATTTAGCCAGAGGATATGGTGTGTAGTCCTATAAGAAGTAGGTAACAAGGGCCCCTAGTGTCATTGATATTTGTTGACGATTGAGCAGAATTAATCT